ACCCGGAGTCACTACTAACAGGTGCAGCCAAGGCCAGCAAAGCATCACCATCACTCTCCCGCATCGAAGGCGAGGAGATTCGCGCTAACTCTTGCATGGAGTTGGATGAAGATGCTACAGCTAGATTTGATGAAGGAGGCTCTAATGTAAGGGAATCAGGATCGTCTTCGATTTTAATGGTGCCCTGTTGGACTTCATCAGAGTCCTCCATCACCTGTATCAGCTCCAGCTCATTAACATTCCCAGCTGGCGTGCTCATTTCAAACTCAAACTTTGTCATGTCAGATGGATCCTCTGGTGGGTTTGTGGAGGGGTCTGGATTTTCTGGTTTCTCATGTCTCCTCTCACTGTCTGTTACTGCAGAACTGTTGTCTGTAAAACAAGGAAAAGCTCATGTTCATATATTTTTAGCATGTGAAATGCCTTTTAATAAAAAAAAAAAAGAAGAAGCCCCATTTAGGTTGTGGTACTCGTATTGTTTTGCTGTGAAATCTCATGATTTTGAAGAAATAAAAACTAAGTATAACTTTCATATTGTTAGTAATATTTTAAGATAAACATTTACTGGACTGAAGCAGCTTATGTTTGCTTGATTAACCATACATTTTTTGAAAATCATGTTAAAATAACTTTTTGAGGCTTGTTTATTTGTATATCTCAATCATCATTGCATGCAATTATGTTTTGTCCTCCACATTTAAAACTTCAGAGATTTGGTCATAATATGATTGAGTGACATATTTACATGCTAGTAGTCTGTTATATTGTTATAAAAGTCCCAACTGATTTATAGTGCAAGCTATCAGAATTTCATATAAATAATATCTGCATCAAATTGCATATTTTCAAAACAAACTTTTTATAAAAAGATTTTTTTTAAATATTTTGTCTAAAACGGTTCCTTTTCAGATAAAACTTTCTCTTACTATTGTGTCAGACTTTGCAAAATTGATAAACATTTATGGCTAATACTCTGTGGTCACGCTTGTTTGGCAGCATTCGACTTGCAAATGGTAAAAATAATAACAATGAACCTTTTTCACCCTCATTAGTGATGTAAAACGGGCCCTCTGGCTCATCTTCTGGTTTGAAGAGAGCAGCATTGTTTTCCACGAGAGTTTGTGAGGTCGTGGGGTCACTCGCGAGCGCTGAACTGTTGCCTCCTGAGGACCCTCCTCTTGCCTCTCTGCGGTTGACGCACTCCCGAGGCCAGTCTGACTGCACCGTGGGGAGACAGAGGCCAACACTAGGGAGATTTTTGGGATTGTGGATTCTTCCCGGTGAGTTTCGGAAGCTCTTGCGGGAGGAATCTCTGCTTTGCGCCTGTAACGTGGGGCTTCCGTCCGCAGCGCGTGACGGAATCACAAAAAGCGCGTCTTCTGCGTTTGGGCGCACGATATTTGACCCGAGCTGGTTTCTGTTGAGAAGTAAACACTGTTTGATGTTCTTTTCAGCCGCGGTCATGTAGTAGCGCACTGCTTTCAGCTCGCTCTCGGAGATCTCCAGTCTCTCGCACAGGGTCTGGTTCTCTCGGTGCGACTCTGCCGCTGCGTTTCGAGCCACGGCCAGCTTTATTCCAACAACTCGCGCCGTTTCTTTTAAAACCGTTTCGATGGCGCATCTTACCGCCTGGTCAATAGTAGAGGCGAGTTCGCACTTGAGAAAAGAAACGCTGATGTCCATGCTCAAAGTCATGGTTACGATCCACGGCAGTATTTCACTGCGAGATGTAATTAATGTTGCATACGTGATTGCAGAGCTCAGAAGAGGCGGTTTGGGTTTCTGTTTTAGCTAAGCGAGGAATAGACTAGTTTACGGCCTCACTTCCATCACTAGTGTAGTACTTCGATAATGCTATCTGGTTGTGATGTAAAAGTAACAGCAACCCACAAGTATTTGGTAAATCTTCCTCAATCTGTCGCGTTCTGCTGTCGTCAGCGTCGAAGAATAATGACGTCAATAGCAACCTGGGATTTTGAGGTTTCGGTAGGAGTGAATTAAGACGTTCTGTTCGTCAGTAGTTGATTCACATTATATATAGATGTTTTTTTAAGTTATGTTAAGTATATAATTGGATCCATATAAGAATGAATGGCCTTTATATAGAAAAAAATGGAATATAATTGTTTTTGAGAGATGTTCTGTGATGCGTTATCCTTAATACTATAGGCAGAGAAGAATAGTAAAAAAAACACTGGATTTTTTTCTACAACTGCCTGTCCAGAAAATCTAATCTCAAGGAAAGAACAGATGTGTTGCATAAATTATGACTGCACAGGTTTATATTTAAAAAAACTTGCTTTAAATATGAAACTTCTGTCTTTGTGTGACCTTTACACTACTGGCCATTGTTTGATTAAACACACAACAGGGTTAAACATTAGAGGAAGCTTGCAGCAGAACACTAGGTTAATCACTGCTTCTTCATTCAAGTTTTGTTTGGATTAAAGGTTAAACAACATCTTTCTAACGTTTCAGAGAATACTGTGTATTTGGTTTCATTTCATTTTATTTATTTTTTTGCACAAGATTTACTTTTTCGTTGCTGGAAATAAACGATTAATTCATATTTCCTTAGCATTTACATATTTACTTATTTAACAAATTCTCTGATTTATATTTTGGCCTTAGTTCAAATAATGGCAAATTTTGGACAGCAATTGTTTTTTCTTGTTTTCTTTTCCCCGACATGCTGTAAGAAAGAGCAATAGCGTACTCTAGAGGTTGACAAATGGAAAACACAAACTCTATTTATTTTAGACTCAGTGTTGTTGCGCCAAAATCTGGTCGTTCTGACACCAGAATGTGAACCCTTCCTTCCCTTTCTCTGGTGTCTGTCAATCTGAGCCCTGTTTAGCCCATGTGGACAGGAGTGTGATCACACTACACCCCTCATCTTCTTCACCCATCCGTTCATTCTGCCCATCTCATCTGTTGGCAGAAATATGTTTAAAGCTTTTAAATACATTTCTATGCATTTTTAAATTGTATTGCTTATAGTCATAGTAATCATAGACTGGATAAGATACATCTACCTAAGTGGCTATGAATATATGTCTGGAGGATTAATGCAGAACAGTTCATGTCCATCCAACCAACCAACCACATACTGCTTGCATGGGTCTGTGAAAATGGTGTTGCTGGGCAACCCATCTACAGCCTACAGTCCCTTATGGGGAGTAGGGCAGGTGGAATGTACCATCACTACATTTGGGGAGGGGGGTATGCATGCTGACTAAATTCTGCTGGCCATAATGTGTGGGGCAGTCTAATGGTGCAGAGTTGTAGATATAAATGAAACAAATAAATCACGGTTTGATATTAATTCACAGCAGTACAGCATAGACAATCCAGTCTGTCATAAATTTTAATACGGGCCAATCAGCAAGTGCAGAGTAGTATAATCTGTCTGCCCCTCCCCTCAACTTGTAATTATGGCAGGTGTAATTAGGAGTGTGTCTCCGGTGGGTGGCAGCTTATGTCTCTAGAGAGAAAGTGTGCATTGCATTACTGAGAGCCTTTACATGGGAATTTTAATTACAGCTATAAGTAATTTGAGAAAGTGTCGGTGAACATATCTGGATAATAATAGATGTTGGGTATTTTTAGAAATGTTTTGAAAAATACTGGAAATAAATGTATCATTAAATATGTTCAATAAAAACAGAAAAGGCATACCTGATAAGTGAAAATGTATGCATTTTAGTAAACTACGCAATCGTTTGAACTTCTGGCATAATGTGAGTACAGTCCAGTGGGTGTTGCCATGTCCGCCTATTATAATCTTTTTTTTTTTAAATATATGGTTAGTTTTTTCACACACACACACACACACACACACACACACTCTCTCTCTCTCTCTCTCTCTCTCTCTCTCTCTCTCTCTCTCTCTCTCTCTCTCTCTCTCTCTCTCTCTCTCTCTCTCTCTCTCTCTCTCTCTCTCTCTCTCTCTCTCTCTCTCATTATAAAAACGTACTAATGTGTTTTGGAGGCCAAGCACCAGCCATAAATATTTCTATAAAATAGGATATTTTATAGGAATATATTATAAAATAAATATTCCTCTCTCTCTCTCGCTTGGCAACATTGTGCTATTCCACAGTCATGCCAATAAAGCTCATTTGAAATGAATTGAATTGAATTGAATTGAGAGAGAGAGAGAGAGTGAGAGAGAGAGCGAGTAGAATATTTATTTTATGGCTGGTGCTTGGCCTCCAAAACACATTAGTACGTTTTTATAATGAGTGTTATTATCAGGTAAGAAAGGCAGAAACTATTAACTATTTGAAAAAAAAAAGTAACTAAAGAGCACCTAGTAGTGAGTAATTATAGCTTAATTAAGTTGGTAGCAAAACTGTAATAAAAGCACATACTGAGACTAATTAACGGCACTTCCAAATACCCCGACCTACTGTTGGAGCCTTCCCCTCTGTCATTATAATAGTTTGTTCTCCTTTCTCAGCTCCGTTATATTTCTTAGGTTTCGACTCTTCTATGTTTCGACTCTTCTTGCGCGATCTGGCAACACTCCGCTCAGGAGCGCATTCATAGCCATTGAGCAGCGCGTATAGGGGAATTCTGTAAAATGTCACTGTTTTCTCCAAGTCATTTATTTGTCGTCTTACACAAATGTTTAAATTGAGATCTACTTATTCTCGTTTCCACATTTCACGAAAGACCTGATATTTAGCTTTAGCGGCCTAAACTCGAGTGTGTTCCAGTGTGAGGTGCTGATCTTCATCCCCGTTTGGCAGTTTGGCGGTGGAGGTCTGCGCTGCAGTGGTACATTCGCAATAAAATGGGTGTGGTTGAATCGCGCATATGTGATGCTACGTGTTTCTGCTGCAGACCGAATGATTTCATACGGGACTGAATTGACAGCAGAGTGAGTGCACATTATCTGAAGTATTTAGAAAACTACTGTATGGTTGTTTATGTTGAATTCACCCCGCCTCCTATTCTGGCACAGTCACATTTGAACTGATGGACGGGTATGCTCCTCCGGAGAGATAACCAAGTCGACTTTGGTTACTTTATTTTAATTTTTTTAAAGGGCCACGGGGTGCCTCGCGTTGTATTGAATTGGTCATTTCTTGGACGAGTAGCGACGGTCAAAACGAAGAGACCAGAACGAGAAGACGGAGGAAGAAGACACTCGGGAGGGAAGAGGCGAGGATCAAGCAACGCAATTTAAAGACAACGACGGCATGTACTTCATTTGAAAGCTTTACTGTATTTGGACTTATTACATCTGTCGGTAATTATACCATTTAAGGCGCAAAATAAGCTTGTTTCCCCCAGTAGCAACGTGTATCAGGAATACCGTGGAAAAGGCTTCTTCCCATCCTCACTAAACGATCAGAGGGCGACATGGTAGCTCCATACTTCATGATAACATCGTTTTGATTCGTTTAGCACATGAAACACAGAGCCACTGAGGCCTAACTAGCACTAGGAAAAAACCGACAATATGCAGTTCTAATCATTTTCCAGAAGAAAAAAAAAATTCCCTGCGAATTACTTCCGCCACCCACTTCAGCATTCCAGTCACTTTACGTGGAGAGAAAAGCCAAACAGGAAGATTTAACAGGTAGGCCTATATTCATTTCTAAGATTTATCAGAATGTTGTGACCCACACGAGACATATGGATGAAAAGTAGGAAAGGCATCAGAGATCTAGACGATTAAAATGGTTCGTGTTAAGTTGTAATGTGTTATTTTCGATCATTTGGGATTTTACTGGTTTTGTCACAAAATCACATTAGTGGATTGTTAATCACAATAGGAATATCATGGAGATTATATATCACATTACATCTGTTTTTAAAGGTGCTGCATGTCTCATTTTAGCCGTGAGTCGTGAATTGATGGAGCAGAAGACTCCTGTTCTTCAGCTGGCCGCAGCCTCCAGCGCTTTACTCACGCCACAGCTCTGATTATGGCAAGCTGTTTCAACATTTACTGCTTTACACTAAACATATTTATTCACTATTGTAAATGACTAGTAATCAATCTAATACTGACTACTATAATTTTAACTTTCACTAGATACTGAATCCACTAAATAGCCTACTGTTCACTTCATACTAGTATTCATTCCAGTCGGTACATATTCCAGTTTTCACGATTCAGTGGGTACTACTCTTGTTTTTGCTTATCTGGGATAGTTACTAGGACATATTCCAGCTTTACCGGTATATATGTTTTAAATATTTATGTTTATAAAAAAAAAAAAAACACTGGTATTTAGTTATCTCACTATTGACACTTGCTTTATTGCTTGTCATATGTAATAACTAGCCAGAACGACTACATTATTGTTCATTTCAAATCTTATTAGTAGACAAACATTTTTTACTAGTACCAATTTGAATACACTGTCATGTCTAATAAACGGGTACTAATGTTTGATTAGTTAATACCAGAAAAACTGGAGAAGAAACGGCAAGAGTAACTAAAGAATAAGTAGTGAGTAATGAAGTTACTAGTAAATTAGAATAGGTATCAGTATATATTGGAATACATACTAGTTCTGAACCCCAAATCCCAATATAAGATACTAGTAAGTACTTAATTATGTGCTAAAGATTAAAAAATTAGCATCACATATTGATACTAGTCAGTTTGTATTAAGGATAACTTGTTAAGACGGCTTGCCATATGCAAATGTCAGTAGCATGATAAAAGAGGACGTTCGGACGTCTGTTGTTCTGGGCGTAGGATGAGCTGACTGAAATATAAACGTAACCCATGTGACCAAGCAAACGCACGTTTTGCAGCTGTCTCCCGGGTTTAAAAGGATGTTTGGTTTAAACAGGTTGCGGTTTCAGTGAAAACAGCGGTTGGTGCTAGTATACGATAGAAATGCCGCTTACGTTACTGCTTTTCTTGCTGTATGCAGAGAGTACACACTCTGCATTCAGCTGTAGGGGTGGGGCAAAGTCTGACATTTTTTTGTAGTTCATGCTAACAGAACTCC